ACGTAACGGTAACGGTAAACGTAACGGTAACCGTAGAACGACGTAGAACGTACGAGAGTAGAGAGTACGAGAGAGAGAGACGAGACGTAGAGTAGAGAGAGAGAGAAAGAGAGAGAGAGAGGTTTGGACGAGTTAGTCCGTATCATTGTAACATAATTGCATGGACAGAATTCCAGTCAAGACAAATGACAGTAAGCCAATGACGTAGTCGTGATATAAGACAATATCGTATACGTTCTGTGTATAAATTAGTCTATTATTACAGGTTTAGCGTACCAATATATCAACTGTTACCGCTTAAGTAAGTGTCAGTAATTGCACGGAATTGATTAATTGTTTCATGATCGACAAGAATCACGCACAGATGTCAAGTGCAGCCTAACCATTTGTCAACTGCCTATCAGGGGCCACAGCAACGCCATCTATGCTATCCTTACTGACCTTCACTCTGCTTAGGATATTGTGCTCTATCCGAGGTCACCTTCCAAAGACGTCTGAAGGTCAACCATTATTGGCTTCCTTAATGCCGCAACACGCCTTTTCTCTCTCAGTGAAGAGAGTAACCTCCGCGAACAGAGCGAGCAACCGACTGTCGGTCACATAAAGGCACTGCTGGCGAAACGCAACACTATAGTGGCAAAAATCCACGGAGGATTACACCAGAATAACCGCAGGCTGAGAATAACCAGGCAGTGCGGCAGGCCACCAAAGCCCCTCTACCGCAGGCCGGCACTAGGTCGCCAGCGATGTTGTGTGTGTGTGTGTGTGTGTGTGTGTGTGTGTGTGTGTGTGTGTGTGTGTGTGTGTGTGCATGTGTGCGTGTGTGCGTATGCGTGGGGGTGCGTGTGAGTGTCCATCCATGTATGCACGCATTCGTGCACTAGCGTGTATGGGCGCGTGCGCGCGTGGTGTGAGGGGGAAGGAGGTAGCTAGCTGCCTGCCAGACTGCAAGAGTAACGGGTGGCCGCAATATCTCGCACATTACACGCGCTCGCTCCCGTGGTCTATTAATGCAATCTTGGCGGGCGCGAAATCGGGCACTGCACACTCCAGCGATCGGCTAATCCGTGCTTTACAGAAGATTGGCATGGAAAATATGATGAAAGCCGTGAGTCGTGTGAAGTTGGCCGCTCTGCAATGACACAACACTGGACGCATGTCGCCGTCGCGAGAGACGCGAGAAATCGCCATTCGTGCGCGCATGAGGTGACCTTCAGTTTCGCAGCGTTAATGCCATTAAATTCCCTCGGCTGACGGCTGCGGTTTTTTGTGAAGAGTTGCGAAGCACGTCGCATTCGGCATTGCTACTTTCGCACCGTGTAAACGTTCGTAACGCGTACACTACAGTTCGAGGACAGTAGAATGTCGGGCAGAATTCTATAAATACCTCTCGCGCTCTCTCTACGCGCGGACACGCGCGCACGCACACGCGTCCACACGCGTACGCACGCACGCACGCACGCACGCAAGGCACACCTGTGTTGTCATTAACACTTAATGCTGTCGTTAAAACTACACGACTTTCTTAATCCTTTCTCTCTTTGTCCCGCTCATTTGTCATTCTTTTCTGAGAAATCTAGCGCGTGCAGCAAGCCCGAAAAGTTAGAATGACCGCTTTACTCCTCAACGCACGCCGCTCGCCGTTATAACAATGCTGCAGGACCGATACGTCAAGCGCACAGCATCACGTCTGTAGTTTCGCAGATTCACGCGCCTGCCGGTGCCGCGCATGCGCAGCCGCATTGACGACGCGCGTACGTCCGATGTGACACACTGTGTGTGTGTGTGTGTGTGTGTGTGTGGTTGTGGTTAGTACCTGTTGTGCACCTCGTTCGTGTGCGGTGTGTTGTGTCTGCTGCGTAGTTGGTGCGTGTTGTGTATGGCAAAATCTCGTTCCCGTGTTGCGCCTGCGCGCCTTGCGCGCGCGCGCGTGTGTGTGTGTTGTGTTGTGTGTGTACCTGTGTGTGTGTGTGTTGTGCTGTATAGGTGTGTGTGTGTGTGTGTGTGTGTGTGTCGCTGGTCGTGTGTGTGTGTGGTGTGTGGTCGTTCGTGTCGTATGTGTGTCCGTGTGTGTGTGTGTGTGTGTGTGTGTGTGACACTGTGTGTGTGTGTGTTGTATGTCTGCTGTGACATAGATTAGCGTGCGGTGTCTGCTCCCCAGGCGAAGCTTAGATTCATTAAAGATCGCCTTACGCCCTATTTAGCGAGCATTACTCACGCCCCACCAGATCACACACGGGCCGAAAGTCCCATCCGCCCTGGAGAGAAGCAACTCTTCTAAACGCCTAGCGCGATGAAGCGATTATTCGTTTGATGATCCCACATTTTTGTTTGAATTTCCGTTGTGAACAGAATTTTAGTAACAATCAAAGTTTGGTTCAATTATAGTGTTCCGTTTTATCTTTCCTTGTGAAATTCATGTATCATAAGCACCACGTAGCTCACCATTCTATCAATGAATTTCACAACGCATCAAGCAGAGATCTGCCAATCATTATCAACGACAAACTGAGACATCCAAGTTGTCTTTCCACACTAATTTGAGAAAACGGCCGTGGGTACGAGTTATATTCGAACGTGTTTTGTGTTTCGTCGCAGTAATTTTTTACGTTAAAAATGTCACGACGAAGCAGCAGCATACTTTACACATATCTTTGTCAGTTGTGGCTAAAATTGGGCCTGCATTACATTTCACTAGTCATTACATTTTTTACGGGGTGACGCGTGGCGATGAGATAATCTGACGCACGACAACGTGTCGAGTAATTGATGGCTTCGAATTATAATAAGCGTAATGCATTATTAATGAGAATTATTGAGGAGACTACAAACGTCTCGTAAGGTGAAAGATGCTGCACCGAGAAATTTTTAAGATCGGAGGAGGAATAATCGGGGGGCACGTAATTCCTGGACGCACTGGTGCAGTTATACAGGCTATTGTGGTAATACACGCGCACGCATACACGCACTCACGCACACACACACAAACAGACACACACACACATGCACACACACACACACACAACACACACACAAACACACACACACACACACGACACAACACAACGACATAAACACACACACTACACACCACACAAACACTACACACACACACACACACACACAAACACACACACACACACACACACACACCACACACGTTAACGCACGACCGCACGCACACTACGCTTACGCACGCATGATAAGCACAATTGTACATATATATATATATAATTACAAGAGCTGTATTAAGAAGGCTTCTTAATACGCCTTCTATAATACGCTATTGAGTATATATATTATATGAATATATATATATATATATATATATATATATATATATATATAGAGAGAGAGAGAGAGAGAGAGAGAGAGAGAGAGAGAGAGAGATCTCTAACCCCTCTCTCTATCTACCTTTCGTTCCCTCCCTCTTTCACCCCCTCTCGGCCCCTCACTCGCTTGCTCTTTATGTCTTACTTGCCGGCCAGACTGTAACAAGCCCAGACGTAGTATCCGCCCAGACTGATTCTTCGCCTTCATCAATAGGTGATTTGCACGCACGAGGCCATTTCACTTCAACAAGCTCTTTGTACGTTTTACTGTTAGTCTGCCCCACCCACTTCGTAAAAACGCCGCTGGCATAGACCGGAGCAGAGCTCGTAGACAGTAAATCGAATACGCGACGACAGAGGGCGCCTCTAACGCGAGCAAATATAAACAGCGCCGCCGGAGAGTGAGCGACGCCGTAATTCCATATATAGAAGCCATCACGACGGGCGACAGACGGTTACTTCTCCTCGCTCTTGTCCCCAGCTCTCCAGTGGCGTGCGTTCTCAATCATATTCAATCGTAACTCGTACATTAAATCGCGGTGAAAACGCAATAGCGGTGCGCATTTCCGCGCAGTCTGCACTCGTCGTTGGAATGACCCTTTATGAGTAAGTCGCTGGCGTTTTCCCTCGGGCGCCGAGTGTTTTTTCTTGAAAAGATGCTGTCATGACTTCATTGTAATTGCGCATGACCGCGCGGTCATAAACCCCACGTAACCGGATACCAGCAAGTGAGAGCACAGGCATGTGGGCCGCTTCGATAATAAAATGATTGTAAATAAAAACAAAATGGGTTTACTACCAACGTCTTATGATGTTTATCTACACGCTCTATCGCCTAATAATTCCACGTGAATAGGGTTCAAACACTTCTTTGCAATACACAATCCCACCACACGCACGGCACTGTGCACAAACTCACGGAAAGAAAGATAGTTTGTGCTCCTCTTCTTTCTTTGAGTGAGTTTGTGCACAGTTACGTGCGCGCGGTGCGACTGCGTGTTCCACAGAGAAGCAGTTGACCGACATTTACGTGGAATTATTAGTTGATAGAAAATGCATAAACATTGAGACTTTGGTAGTGACTGATGACATTTTATGACTGAAACGGCCAACGTGCCAGTGGATCAGAGCGGGGTAGGAGCGCAACGTCCTGTTAATAGCTTGCCCAGGCTACTAGCGAGAGGTTTCAGTCACCGTCGCACGAGGTGATTTTAATCGAACACGTGCACACGAGCGCGTGTGTGATCGCCTCATCGCGTTTACTGCATTACGCTACCGTCATTAATGATCCGATGCATCGCTAGACAGGGCTGCGAGTGTAGACGTGGCGCCAGAGCTCATACGGTGGGTGACCACATGCAGCTATAAAAGTCGTTCGCCGGATAGGCGCGAGTTCGTGATAGGAAATTAAAAGAAGCTACGCGTCAAGATTTACTGCTAATTAAATAATACACAATAATACCGAGAGAAAATCACCCTTTCACCTTCAAGAAGATGAAGTGATGAACACCTTCAACTGATGCCCTGGGTCAGAGCGGACGGGGCTACAACGACATCGCGATTCATGATCATAGATAGGCTAAGCAAACACGAAACGAAAGAGAGCGTAATGCAGTAATGCATGAAATGTAGTAAAAAAGGGTAATGTAAGGGTCAAGTATAAAAAAGGTGAAAAACAGGAGAGAAAAAAGTAATAAAAAAGTAATAGCAAAAAGGAAGTCGCCTCACCTTGGCTGTCTCCAGTAGCGTTGATCAGCTTTTTCTGCCGTCTGCGATGTCGCTTGCCGTTACAGTGAGCAATAGCCTGCTTGCACGAGTTCAGCTCCGAGTTACAGATGCAGCAGAAGTGGTAGAAGGACGGTCGCTGTGCGGGACTAGGGAATCCTGGTATCTTTCTAAAAGACAATGAATATACGGACACGTTAGAGACACACATAAAGCCAACGTCTGAAGTGAACACATCATATCAGGAGTGTATAATATAGTCAGGAGTGAATAATAATAAATAGATCTAGATATTAGATAATAGATAATAGATTCAATAGTGTTCAATATATTATTATTCACTCCTGATATAGTGTAAATTATGACACTCATGATCATACGAATGTGTAGGTCTGCGTAACACATCATATAGACAGCACCGATGTCAGACAGATGACAAATATACATGACAAGATACGCATTAATCATTTATCATGATCATTATCATGATGAGCAATGGCAACAACACAATCCACACACATTTCCCAGCATTTCGTCTAGTCCATAATGACGCCAACCGCTCAGCTATAACCAATAACTCGCGATGTTAGTTCCATAGTAAATGTAAATGCTCTCTTTCAAACTCAAATTCAAGCTTCGTTGTCTCTCCAAGTAACGCAACATTTATCCCTACAAGCCAACCATGGCATATCACGTTTGTATATATAAGGAATAACGTGTGCGCTTAGGAATAAGTGATATTCGATAACATATAGTATTCATAGACTTGATTGCCACGCGTGTAAATTACGTATGTGCTTACCACAAGTTCGTACAAATGTAAGACACAGCATGGCTTTTCATTTTTATACTAGTTCCGACCTTGTCACCAATCGCACATCTTCGCTGTTAGAACTACCCCTGCTAGCTTCAATCCCATTTTCGACATAACCCATTGCGAGCTAGACTGAGATACTAGTGCAAATTGGATTGTTCCGAAGAGCCCGTCGAACATTGTTGCAAAGCTGGTGAATTCAGGTTGCACGCGGGAAATCTCACTGAACCGAGGATTATCAGGTTTTTATTTAGCACTTTGAAGCGATAGTCTCAGCCGAGAAAACCTGCCAAGTGGCTGTTATCCAGAGCTCCCAACCCATAAACACTGATAACCCATATATGTGGGTAGAGTGCTGCGCGTCGTCCTACAATAACAATGGCCCCGCGAACGCATTGCGTACGAGGTGCGACACACGTATAACACGGTTGCAATTGTCAGTGCGCGATGCAACCGTAACACGAGTAGCATCGCGGTCGTGTGTGAACCCATAAAAACGCGAACAACAGCGGGAGAGAAAGAGAAGAGCACGCGCGTGAGAGAGAGAGAGAGAGAGAGAGAGAGAGAGAGATGGAACGAGCGAGCGAGAGAGACGGAGAGAGAGCGAACGAGAGAGAGAGAGAGAGAGAGAGAGATGGAACGAGCGAGCGAGAGAGACGGAGAGAGAGCGAACGAGAGAGAAAACGAGGCAGCAGGTGTGAGAGAGCGAGAGAGCGCGCGCGAGAGAGAGAGAGAAAACGAGCCAGCAAAAGAGAGAGAGAGAGAGAGAGAGAGAGAGAGAGAACGAGAGAGCGAGAGAGACGGAGAGAGAGCGAACGAGAGAGAAAACGAGGTAGCAGGTGTGAGAGAGCGAGAGAGAGCGCGCGAGAGAGAGAGAGAAAAAGAGAGAGCGAGAGAGCGAGAGAGCGAGAGAACGAGCGAG